CAAAAATCTTCTTAGAGTAAAGAGGACCTCTTTACTTTCAGAAGGTCTCGCCCTAATAATGCCCAAGTAGAATGTTTGCTTTTGATTAAATGGTCAGAAAAGAGGCAACATCAATGGAGAGGCAAACTGTACCAATTTACTACAGATGGAACTAATTGGTAAACTGACAGACAGCTTTGGATTATAAAAAAAATCTAGCTTTGTTTGTTTCACAGAGAGTTCCAGCAAACCAATGTACACAATGATTGATGTTTTGGCAAGTTATATGGCATGAACATACTATTGGTTTGTTTTATTTGCTGCTTTAATTAGGGGTGTTTATCAATGTGTTTGTTGTTGCTGTTTCCATTCCTCTAGCCACAAAAATAGAAATATAAAAACTGTTCCATGGGTCCATCACTTTTCAGTGGAAATCAGTATATTATTCTATGGATGGTTTTATTTCCAAATACATGACCTCAATCCCAGATAGAAAAATACAACAGAAATCAGTGGCTGTAACAAAGCCATCTTGTCACAGCTCAGTGTCAGATTATGTTGTTACTCATTGAAAAGTCACACTACAAGCACAAGATTTAATCCTTAGCTGCACGGTGTTGGCAGGTTAAAAAAAGGCAAATAAAATGGATCTCTGTTAATCTACATGCAGGCAAGGGTTTAGTGGAGCAGCTTACAGTAGAGACTGAGCAGGGGAAACAGGTGTTGGTTGCTAAATGTGCTTTCACTGAGCAGAGGAATGACAGCTATGTACTGGCCTGTGTGGTTACTGGCACATTACCCAGAGTGGAGCTGACAGAAACAACCCACTGCTGCTGCATCCACTCCAGCCTTTATGAATGAAGGGCCTCCACCTCTGATGGAAGAATCACTTCTGTGTAAAGGATTAACTTGGCATCTAAGTGGATTTCATAAAGTAATCACATTTGACACCCAAAAAACCCGAGCTTTATCCTCCTCCTTTTTTTAAATGATAGCTCCTATCAGTTTTTTTGTTGTTGTTGTTCAGTGTCAGACCCTCTTGTTTCAGAGTGGAATCTTAAGTGGACATTTTGTTTAATTTTTTCTGTTCATGTTTGTTTCTTTTATGTCTAAATTTGGATGACTAAAAAGGAAAAACGTGGTATATCCTGGCTGCTCTGTGTGTGGGCAAGCAGTGGAATGTGGCTGGTCTCCATCGTGGGTGGATGTTCTCGCTGTACATTGTAAACAGCCAAAATGTTGATCTTTTCCTGTGGTGTAACGGTGTATTGATTCTTGATTTTACAAACTTCCCAAGGTTGCTGAAGCTCTAAGAGGCACCATGTATGCCATTCTGAGGTTCATGAACTTGTGGAAATATCCCCTCCCTTATGCCATATTGGACCACACATAGAAATGCCACCTATGTTGCCTGTCTTTATTTATCCATTTTGAATGAGCTTCCATTAAACATCCCAAAGTGATACAAAAAATAAAACATTTCTAAAGATTTAGTCCAATTCAATTTTAGTTATGATGGTTGAATAGGTAAATAATGTTGGGCTGGTTTCTCATCCCAGTAACCCAATAACCTGTCTTACAAATGTCTTTTTGCTTTGGATAGTTCCAACTTAGAGACATTTACATTACTGAGTAACTAATCTTTAATAAGTAAGTTAAATGGGTGCGTTGCAATAGGTTGTGTGAACAAAAAGTTGATCTGTTGTAAATAGTGAGAAAAAGTCAACACTGAAGCCCTGCTTCTCCATCCATCTCCCTCCATCTGAGGTTGATTGAATACTCAACATTGTTCTCTGTTCATGGGGTGAGATTGATACAGGCACTGCATCTTCTGCTCCCCGGGTGTTCCAGCTTGTTTGTTAAAAAAGAATCAGGTATCGTATAAAACACAGAAGATTTGGTGAATCAAATACAATCAGCAGGACAAGTGTTCTGTGACAGTCCCAGCACGCTTCATTAGGCTTCCTTATTGGCACACAGAGTGGGGAAAGCTGAGCCTTTCACTGATACCATGAACACCCTTAATACTTGTACAAGGAGGGCAATTTGGCTCTCATTACAGCAGTGATTTCTTAGCATTAAGCTAGTTGTTGGAGTCTAGAAGAAAATAATTGAATTGAAAAATGGAAAAAAGGAAGATATATAATGCAATGAATATGCATCTATTAATTTACTTTAATCTATCTACTTATTTCCCACTCATCCTACTCAGCTAAATCTCTGTATTTATATAGTTTTCTGTTCAGGCAGCTGGCGTTGTGTCGCTGATTGTGAGACTAATCATCCGCTCAATTACTCAGGAATGTGTAGCTGGGCCGTGTTATGACTGATCAGCTTTCTCCTTTTCACTCTTTCTTGTCATCTCTTCTCATGGTTGACTCTCTGTTGGGAAGCATCTGTTTTCAATCTGTTTTCCTTTCACTGCTTCTTCAACATTCAGTCTTACTGAAATCACTTAGATTCAGGAGGACTCAATCAAATGTGATACAATTAATTCTATCTCAATCGAGCTGAAGTTATAAAAAGTGTTTCACTGAGTGCCATGGTTGCAACGTAACCTGAATTTGATATTTATTTTCATCTCTGTTAACCCATCTGCTGTAGTTTGACCCAGCAGAAATTTGCATACATTTCGAAAAAAGCTTATTTACAAAATTGTTGTGATCCATGTCAGAAACAACTAGTCTTTGGACATGGTTCCCTGTTATACTGACATCTAGAATGTCTGAATGATGAGGAGTTAAAGAAGGAATTAATTAAAGACATGTTAACCAGTAACTCCCACTGAAACATCGGTAAACAAAATGAATACCACCCATAAATATGTTTTGGAGACATGTTTATTAGGTTGAGTATGACTTGGCATTAAAAATGTTTCAGACTGGGAACAGAAGGCCAGCAGCAGATGTAAAGTCCAAAAAAGGAGAAAAAAAGACTATTTCCTATCATTTCTGAAATGAAAGGAAATTCTGTGTCATGGAAAAGACATGAAAGCTGGCAGAAGAGGCAATCATGGCAACAAGTAGATACGGACCTACAACCATAGATTGGCTCTGGGTTTATCCGTTTCTCATTTAATATCTTTTGTGCAGGTCCAGTGCAATATTGCTGTAAAGTGGTGTGTTGTGTGGTAGTGTGCATGTGTGCACGTGTGTCCTTGTTTGTAATTGGGATTGTTTAGTGTATTAAACTAGACTGGAAACAAGATATATTTTTTCAAAGATTAGGTGAAACAGGTCGTTTTTAAAAATGTATATAATTTATCCAATATCAGCACAAAGCATTATTCATTTAAATGTTGATAAAACTTAATGCTACAGATGCAACGTTTCTGGGTACCAAATGTATCATTTTCAAATGTCGTGAATTCACTTTCACTCCAAAACCAGGGCTTGGTTTTAGTTTTGTGCTTCATATGCTTCTTCCTGCAGTGGATGGCCTGTGGTGATCCTACAAGGCTGCCAGTGGGATGCCTGTTTGCATGTTAGTTCGCTACATGCTGATGCAGGGCCTACATGCTAATGCTAATGAGGCACCCACTTGAAAACTGCAGCCTTTTCTTCTACTCTTGAACTGGGCCCAAAAATGAGGAATAAAGAGCTTTACACATCAACAGTTAAATCAAACAAGAAATGCACACACATTTAGATGAGTTCTCAGAGGAAGTTTGTGACGGAGATAATTATTTGGGTAAAACCATTATTATAGATGTTCTTCAAAATCTATCTTAACAAGCTATGAAATTTTGACATCCAAATATCTTACCAGTTTTCTAAGCATAAGCTTAATTGTAGAAGCTCAGCCATTTTTGATCATACTAAAATAAACTGTCAGGACTGACTAGGGCACCAGGCAGTGTCATTTTCAAATGTATTTGTGCCATCTGTGGCTAAAATAAAACAAGCCATGCAAAGGGCCTCTTGCAACCCCATCATCTTGATATATTTATTGAAAATAGCATTTCTCAGGTTGAAGTTACGAAAAGTCGTGAAAAGATGAGTCATTTATTTTAGAAAACTGTTGAGGGACTTTCCAGAATAATGAACAAACCATGAAAAATTATCAGCATCCTTTCCCTAAATGTCTGTGTAACATTATTTGAACGGTAGCTTCTCAGATTTTTTCTGTTGTGCTATATCTTTTGTTTTGGTTACATCTTAAAAAAAATCCAACCAACGAATTGTACTGGCAGGATTAAAAATTGGAATCAGAAATCAGTCTTCTCCCCTCGTTCTTTTTCTTTTTCTTCGAATGTTTCTTTCCCTTTCAGAACATTGTGATTTGTTGACTCTCGGGCTGGACATGCAGCTGCTCTGTTCCAGATTTAAAGTCCTGCTGTTTAGTCGAGATGAAGAATGAGATACGTGGGAGCGGAGGCTGGAATGTCAGTGGGCTGGTACTGCTGATCATACCACCTGGTCAGACCACTCATGACAAACATGCACACACACAGAAATGTGTTCCCATCACTTTAGAGGACATTATATTGACATTTACATGCACAAGCTAGACAGTTAGAATGACTCTCAAATCTTCTTGGAATTAAGTATTCAATCTTAAATTTACTGCTTCATGCATCAGGGATTTGTATTTCACCATGGCATCAGTCAATGTCACTAATGTGTGATGAGCAGTATCATTTTTTCAGAATCATACCATTCCAGATAGTGATCAGTCCATTATATCAAAGAAACCTCATTCAGTAGTTAAAATATCGATAAACCAAAACCAAGTCCAAATCTAACAGTAAAACCTGAAAAGCAGCTTGAACAAATGAGTAATCTGCCAGTGCCCCCTCCACTTCCTGTCCAGACAGGAACTGCATTCTTTTGCGTGTTTTTGTCAGTCTGGAAGTGTGCTGTTTTTTTTTTTGTGTGTGTGTGTGTGTTTATGTAAAAGACATGGCATCCTGTAAAAACTGTCTGTGGAATGCAACAAACTCCCCTTGCTTTTCTCAATACACCAGAACAGATTAAAACGTGGTGGGGAAAAAAAGGTGGTTGTATGAATTCTGTTTTGGGTTTTTTGTTTATTTAAGCATACAAAACAACTGACAACAGAAAAAATAATAATCTTAATTTTCACAAACTGTTTAATAAATGCATTATTTCAACATACAGTACCAGTATTTACACGACACATTCCCCAAAGGAAAAATAGCGTAGGCAGTTTCCAAGCAACAATTCTAGCAGGGATGGTTCAGCAATTTAGCATGATAAAAACAGCGCACACAAACACACAACAAGCATTTACACCAATTAACAAACATTTACTGTACAAAGAAATTGCGGATCAAAATCAAGCTCTTGAAACAGAGCTGCTTGGTCACACATGAAATGAAAAAGAAAGAATCCCGTGCCAGTTAAGAAGAGGCCATCTAATTTAAAGCTAGTAGTCTATTCTTGTTTTTGTTTTTTTAATCATTCTTCAAAAGTTTCGACAGTCAGCCAATACATCACTGTCATTCAAGTCTAAGCCTGAGATCATCACCATGCTGACTGAGAGGACAGTGCAGGACACATGGACCAAGCCACAGTTAGCATTCTATGTCTACATTTTACATTACAGTGCTGGTGTTGTTGCCATACATTGTTAAAGCAATACGGTAGGTCCATTTTGTTGTGAGTTGACATTCCATCTGCTCATCATTTAGAACCAAACCGATGTCTTTGCTTTGGTCTGATCAAGGGCTGCAGAGAGAAAGCGACAATGCTTAATTATTAACTGGATTCTACAGTTCATTGCACATATTAGCATGAATCTAACACGTGAGAAATGGTCTTCCACAGCTACCTGAGTCATACACCTCCAAAGATCCATGGAGGGCAGACGGTGTCCAGGTCACGGAAGTCGCTGTGACTGAAGTGTTGCTGCTGGAGTCCATCTCTGTCTTCCCTCCCTCGCTATGCGGGGAGCTGCTCGTGCTGGTGGTGGACTGGCTTTGGCTCCTGACGCCAGGCAGAAGCAGGGCGTTGAATCTGGGATCCAGCGCTGAACTGTGGGCCGGGTACGTGTGGAGCATGGAGTGAGGGTGCCTGGCGTGAATGTGGGAGCGGGGGGGCCGAGGATGAGCGTGGTAGACGTCGTGAACGTTGGGGTATCCGCTCGGGCTCTGGGGGCTCAGATTGTAGGTCCAGCTGTCGGGGAGGGTGGCCGCAGATGGGAGATTGGCCTGAGAGAGCACATGGCCGGCCCACAGAGCTCCATCTGGGTGGTTGAAGGAAACAGGGCTGGTGGTAAAGTCTGGGTGGACTGAGACAGAGACAGAAGGGAGGCAGGAGTTGGCTTGGGATGGAAACGCATTGTTCCAAGCTGAGCCGCCCTGACTCTCCTGGAGGGAACCACTGTCTGGAAAAACACATCAAAAAGGATTTAACACACAGTCACTTATCATTAATCATCCTGAACAATTAAACCAGATAAGATAGGGTTAGATTAGATCTGAAATGGATATAAAAATATGAATTCAGACTTACCTTTCCATATGTTAGCTGAGGCAGAGGCCGGTGGCTGAGTCACTCTGATGGGCTTGGTCTCATTGCTGAAGGTGCTGGCCTGACTGAGAGCACGGGAGAAGTGCTCGTCTACCACGTCTCCGATGTCGCCTTGAAAGTAAGTGAACAGCACACACCGGGAGCTCAAGTACTCAGCCTCTGCAGGTTGAGAACCGTCCTTTAGCTCGGAATCGGATGATCTCTGGCCTGACTCTGCACTTGCTGCTGGAGGAACCTGCTGCAGACGCTGATCCCTGGGCAGCATCCCTCTTCCCCCCCCTTGTTGCTGCTGCTCCATACACTCTTGCATCTTATAAACGCTCAGCTTCCTCTGAAAGAGAAGACAAATGTAGACCAAAAAGATCATTAAAAATATGTACTTCAATCAGAAGTGTTAGATTTTTTCCTGAGACCTGGACCTCAAATAATTATTTCACACACATAGGGCTTGAAATGTGTCATCCATGATATATTTCCGAGCTACCAGTAATCTATTTTAAGGTGGCAGTTTGGGAATCGTGTGAAAAAAAACTTTCTTTTTTTTCACCAGCATTCCAGCTATTTGTAAGGCTCCAATCCGCATTCCTAAGTGAGTGACTGGTTGTCATTACATCACAATTTGACCGCAGGATTAATAGCTCCGTGTCATCACGCCTGACCTGAGATGAATACCAAGAGCAAGAGTGGAATTTAATCATTCAGAAAGTAAACTGAAGGTAAGAGTTAACTTTATCCAGGGTCAGGGAAGTTTGAGATCAGGGCGATCAGCCAGAATGCGTCTGTCATTCATGGCTGTGCCTTGGTAAAAAAAAAAAAAAAAGGATTCCAAAGTTTTGTTGGCATCATATTTCATAATACATTATTAAGTTAAAATAAAGAATCTTCAAATGTAGTCAAACGAGCCCTACTTAAGTAATCGATCCATTTCAGATACGGAAACAACTTCCAAACACTTAAAAGTCAGTTATTAACGATGGTCAAAAGAGTTGTACAATGAGCGTCTCACCTGTTGTTGCTGGTGGTTAAAGTAGGTTGCCTTGTACGCAGCTGAAGGGAGGTAGTGCGCTCCATAGCTTTGGTGATACATCACATCCAGGCAACTCATAGCGACGGAGCAAATCGGCTTGGAGAGAAAGTCAGAAGAGAGAAAACTGGCGGAAAACAACCGAAGGCGAATCTCCCTTCAGACTTCAGACGGGCTGTGTCCTTCGTGCCAGCTGTGGCTCCATATATGCCCAAACGCATACAATAGCCATGTCGTCCAGTTTGCATACAAACAATGCGCCTCCCGTGGTGTGCTCCAACAGTAACCTCCCGGGGCAACCAAATGGATCAAAACGGTATAAGACACAGTGTATCCGGGAAAAAAATTCTTTGCTGACAAGTTTTCAGATTACTTTTGATTGGGTAAGAATTCCTTTCTGCTTTTTCTCCTCTTCTGTTTTGGAGGGGAGTTATATTTAGAGAGGGCTGTGACTATTACGCACGCCCATCTGGGTAGGGCCTGCAAGGCTCAGTGGAGTAGAGAAGTGCATAACAGTTCCATTCCTTCCGCGTGTTTCTATTAGGAAAGTTTAATTTTAAGACATATATGAATTTGTTATTCTTCTAAGAAGAGTAGAACATAGGAATGAACTTTAGGGAAATCACATTCAGACAAACTTTATCTCAGCAGTGCAAATATTCCAGGAAACATTTAACTCTTGAGGAAACTTTCCCTTCTTATATTCCTCTTGTCCCTGTTGTTTTAGCGTGTTTTAGCTCGTAGGCAAGTCTAGTTCAACATATCACTGTCATACAAAACGTTCGTTTCTGTTCTGTGACGTATTCGATTTATTTAGTGGAAATTAGAGCAAGCACATCTTGTGCTAGAGCTGATAACTATTGCTAAAGAAGCCCAATTGTAAGATATCACATTTATTTATACATCCCTATACAGTTTACTGACTTCACATTTTATATATAGGAGAAGATAAAATAGATTTATTAGAACATATGTCATTTTTGAGCAGGTGTTTTCTTCATGGTCGTTGAAATCATCTTCCCTCATAATGTAAAGCTATGAAGCTCTGAATAAAGCAAATCAAATGTAGTTTCTCAAAATTATAGCCTATATCTTAAAACTTTGTGTAGTTTTGTTTGTGATCACTGTTACAGGGATCACTGCTGTTTTTACCTAACATTATTGAATTGAATTGATTGAATGACTGGAGCAGTTTGCTGCCATCTATTGACATGGTGACTGACATCACATCTCTATCAGGTTGACCTCAGCAGTCCCATAGAAGGATTTTTCTGAAGGAAATTACTCTATGAATGTGAATGAACACATGAATGAACGATAAAATAGTGAACGAAACATCTGCGAAACGTTTCGTCAGCACAGTAAGTTCTGCAGTGATTCATAATCAAATCCCTGAGTTTTTTGCAAACTGCCATTCAGAGTTAATATAATTCTTATTTCAGATGCAGACCATAATAATGTTTGGATATATTTATGTATAAATGTTTCTCTAGTGTGCTCAGAATAGAGGAATTTTGTTAAGAGATGATCCCTTTGCTGCCTTTCCCTAAACAGAAAGCAACCTTAGGGAGTATTGTTTATGTGTACTGTGGAATGCAATACAGGTGCCTACTTCTTTTTTTCTGTTTGGATCTGTCTTGTTTCTGTCTGTACATTCAGTTTTCTTGAGCTCTCTTCTCTAATCCGGTAGTTTCTGGAAGGTGGACGTTTTTCTGTCGATGCTGAATGCTCTCTGTTCCAGTGCATGATGTTACAAAAGCCACAAATATGCAAGAACATTGGAATTCCTAAGATTTTCACAGCTAACTATTCAGCTTTTCTTTAAAAGAAAAACATAGTATAGTAACAACAAAAATGCTTCAAGCAATCTTGCTTCAATGTCCCCGTGAACCAACAAACTATTGGAATTTGAAACATAAATCAAAGAGTACTTTTTCTTATGCCCACACAAAATGTTTTTGGTGGTACTTTGACAGCAAATACGTATCGCTATTCTATTCTAGCCGAGCACTCTTGAGATATGACATAGCAAGTGACATTCTTTTCTCTTTCACGCTGACACACAGAAAGTTCAGTGTCTTCAGAAAAGAGTCAATGTTGAATAACCAGCTTTCTGATTGGCAGTTGACCCCTTTTTCCATCTGGGACATATAACTTCGACTTCTTTTCCACTTAAGGCAATATAGAAAGGCCCATAGAAAATGAACAAATTAGGTCAAGATCTTCCTTTTTTCAAATCAGAAAAGGATATCGTTAATTGATAAGTATGAAATAAAATCCTGAAGTCAGCTACCAATGATTATCATTATTAGTAGTAGTATCATTGTCATTATTAATGTTGTATTTGTTGTTGTTTGAAAAGCTTTTTCATGTCTAAATCACATCTATTCCTGTCACTTTAACATTAATGTACAGTTTGTCACTGTGCACATTCCCCAGTGTGCAGGGGAGAGATTACTGTTTAAGAAACACAACAGGAAGATTTATTATTGATTTTCTGCCCCATCCCTGCTGCGTGCTGTTGTTGCCACATTTGACACTTGGGCTTGCAGCTACGACGGCACTTCAGGGACTGTGGCATGTGAGTAACAGTCTCATCAAATTCACTCATGTTGTATTCACTTTGATGACACAAAGGGAGTCTGAATTATTCAACCACATGCTGCTGATACCAAAGCAGGTCAGTGTTGTGGAGGGAGATCCCTCATTACAAGAGACAGAAATAGGTTTTAGGTTTGACTTTTTTTCTTAATAGCTTAGCTTCAATTTATATTGCCAGCCGATGGAAAATTGTAACTAGACTCTATTTCTGCTTTTTTAGTGTCTTGATTGACTGTAATTTACTTGTAAAACATGCATTATTGTGTTCTTGAGAATCAATGGTATAATAAATAAAATGCAAATGTCAGAACAACTTGCCTTTTCTTTTAAATAGGCCATCACAAAAAGTTGATACTTAAAATAAAAAAAAATAGACATAGCAGAGGCCTGGATGTAACGAGGACAGTTTGGAATGATCATCAATACGGCTGCAACAAAGTTTTGACATGATGCATCACTCAGTGTGACAACACCAACAGACAAAGTGACTGATTACAAAACCGTGCAGGGATAGCATAGTTTGCCTGCATCTCCATCTAGTGTTCTGATGGAGAAAATCGAGGCCCTGACTGTTTCAACTTTCTTCAGAAGTAGGGCAGTGGGACACTTGCAGTAGCGACGCAAGTCAGTTTTGGAAGTATCAAACTCGTGCACGAGCTACAACGGACATATGCACAAAACTCTGAACCTTGGGGGTTTTCCACCGAACATCTGGATCAAACGGTGCCCCCAATCCTCTGCTCCTTAATGAGGCATAGAGACGATTATTAGTGGATGCTTTAGAGGGAAATGCGAAGGGAGGAGTGGGAGAGGATTGACAATAAGGTCTATTTCCATCAAAGAATGGAGGGAGACCTCCAGTGTTTTAGATCTGAGGAAATTTCCACTACATCAGAAATACACAGATAAGTTTCCGAAAAAATAGATATTGTTTGGGTTTGGGGGATACATCCCAAGAAACCAAAGAAAAGAAGTCTCGAGGGTCCTGTCCTAGATCATAGGTAGAGATATAACAAGTCTCTTCTATCTTCAAGCATTGAAGCTTTAATATTTAATCACACTGTTCAACTGTATTTCAGGTAAAAAAAAGTGTTTCCTAATTAAAACGGGTATTTCTCTACCTTGGAGGCAGGTGTGAGTGCTGTTGATTAGATCTCACATTAGGCAGTCTGCAGCATCATGAGTTTTGTTATGAGATTGCTTTCATTCTTTTGCCCTGGAGAGAGCCTTTAGAAATACACACCTGGCTGGGACGGCTCTAAGGATGACCTAATGATGATGACAATTATGACAATGTGAAGACATAGCAAAATGTTAATAGAAACAAAGGCTTGAGTTGTGGCTGTTAATTGTTTTTACCATATAATCAGTTATTTTGTTCTTCTTAAAGTATTTCTTTAACCAATAAGTGAGTTTAAAAGATATGAGTGAGATAAGTCTCAATAAGTGAGACTAATATAAGCTCACAATCTTTGACATGTCTAATTATACGTGGACATTGTTTTTGTCATTAATTTGCATTATATAAAAAAGACAATTCAAATACAAGGAATGAATAAGATTGAAGTGTCTTATCATCTGATTATGACTCAAACTGCAACTTTACATCGATGCTGAATGAAGATGGAAAAGGAATTAACAATTCCTTTTGATAAAAACTTAAATAAAACCAAACACTGCCAGCAGTATATGGATGTTCCATTAAAGTGAGGATTCTGTCGAACTAAATGTTCCCTACTTATGTTCGGGGATGGGGGTGGGGTGAGAAAATGGTCTAATTAAATAACTATTAATGCAGTTTCAAGCCTATGAAGTGAAGCAATATCAGCCGATATTTACTCACAATAAGAGACTTTTGAAGAGCAGGATATTTCTGTGTTTGTGTGTTTAGCTCCAAGTTTCCATTTTAAAGTCAAAACATGAGTCTTTATGTGAAAATGCGGTTTAGGCGTGACACAAAGCAACTTGGTGGAATCATTTGCACTTTGGCACTCTACTAATGGGCAAACATCATTTGTAAGTTAATGGAAATGAAATTTACATGTTAAGCTAAAAGAGAGGAAAAAAAGCACTTAGAATGAATTCATTATCACAGTGATCACACACATTTGGTTTTTATTGTTCTTGCCATTTTTTTCACACATTCTCTACACGGAAATTAGACTTTTAATTGCAAACAGCAGACAAAGACAGACTCTTCCTCCGTTGTGTGTTTCCACACACACTCTCTGTGTGTTACAAAGTGACCAGTGGGTGTTGGGTTCACAGTCTGCATGCTGACCTTGCTTAAAAAGCACATAATTACTCAGTCCATCCTCCAGCTTTAACGCACTTTCTGCCTGTGTATAGATAATGGGACCAGCACAGGCTGTCTGGGAGAAGTTAATGAGAAGATGGAGACTCAAAGGCAGGGTCATAATGGAGGAGAATTCACTTGACAGATGTGTCTCTCCTTAGGAGGGTCACTCAAGGGAAAAGTTTACTTTCAAACAAAACATATCATTTTTAAAGTTATACAGTGAAATACAAATAGGAAATTGGAAGATAGCATTGTTTATCCAGAACCTTTAGTTTATTATGCTTAATATGTGAAAAATCAAGCATAACAGTCTCCATACGAATTTTCCAGGTTGAAATTGACTGTTTTCCCCTCTTTTGTAAAGAATTGCACACAGTGGATTACATTCATATATTACTGTTACGGGAATGAAATGCTCCCAGCATTGATAATGTGAAGAAGAAACCTAAAAGAATGGAATCAAATACAGAAATCGTCCTCTGCCGTACTGGCACCTTGAGTGAGGATAGGAAAAATCTGCTTTTTGCTATTCAGATCCCTGTTACTTTTCCACAATCACAGAAGCATTGCCACATTTAGTTTTTAAAACTTCCTGAACATATTAGTCCCAAACATAATATCACAATCAGTTATCTTTCACACTGAACTTCACCAACCTCATCCCTCTTTTTCAGAGTGAAGGACTTGTCCTCCATTGCCCTTCCAGCCGTAATGACTCTAATTCCCTCATGTTAATGGTATTCCTGAGCCCAAGCCCCTGCTGGGACCACCAGCCCACTTCTTGTGGTCGCAGCCTGGCCCCGGGGCAAGGAGGCCCATGGACTGAGGAGACGGAAGAGAGGGGCAAAACAGGGTTCTGGTTTGATGCATGTAGGAACTACCCCTCAGACAGATTGGCATCCCCAGGCAAAAGAACCTGTGGATAAAGGAGGATGTCATTGAATCCTCCCTTAGAATGTGTATGTGCTTCACCAAGTGTGAAATCCAAAAAAAAGGTGCCAGCAGCAGTTTTAAACAATAACACCACTCTGTTTGACCTTACTCACAAAACCAGCATGCCTGTGGGATGTGCTGCACGTGTGAATGCATGTATCAAATAAATTTCTGTTCATGTTACTCCGTTAAGGATCTAAGCGCCGCTTCTTTCAGCCCGTGCGTGGAGCTATGTCTTTTTCCTGGGAGGCTGAGGAGGTCGGGGGTAGCGATGATGATGAGCAAACACTACAGGGGGAAATAATCTCTCATTACCCAGAATCCCCTGATGCTGCGCTGCCCCGGTGAGCACGACTCGATTTGTCCCACAGGCAAAAAAAAAAGTGGAGTCACTCACTCGATTTATTAGACCATCCCGATCTCCCCTGCCCTCTGCCTCCCCTGCTGCTAGCACCGTGTTTCCCTGCTTCCATCCCTTCCCCTGTCTCTTTCAAACACCTGCTGTCTTCCATATGTCCTGAGATGCTTCACCACTGTTTTGGGTCTGATTTTAATGACTTATATTAATATTCTGAACTGGGGGGACATTATCAGCATAAAACTGTTAAACAACTCCATATGAATATGATGTATGTACACAAATAACTACAACCAACCAAAATGTAACTCTCATTTTGGTGAAATATTCAACTATCTGTGTAACGTTCCTGGCACTGGAGCTGGCTCCACCCCGTCTGCACACCTGCTCAGCATCCTCACTCCATAATCACCCTCATCGCCTGCACCTGTTTCCACCTCCATATATACTCTGCTCATGCCAGTCTCCGTGCCAGAACGTATCGAGCCGTAGAGTGAGTACTTCCAGCATTATATTATCCTGCCTGCCTGATCTTTGACCTGCCTTCCGTCCACCTGTTTTCCAAGCCTGCCTGACCCCCGCCTGATCCGTCCGTTCGACTCCTGAGCCTGCCTGTCCCTCGCCTGTACCTTTGCCTGATCCTGACTGCCTGCCCGTGTATGACCCCGCCTGCTTGCGACCTCGAGACCCCGCCTGCTCCCTTGGACTGCTTCCCTGGTACTGACCCCTGGACCGGCCCCGACCGCCTTCTTGGATTATCCCTGTGTCCGCTGGATTATTGGATCACTTGGTACCGAACTTGGACTGCCCTGACCACGCCTCCAGTTTATTTGCAAATAAACATTGTTTCCCTGACTGACCGGCTTTGGGTGTCTGTGGGTCCGAACACTGATCATTACAATCTGAATGTAAATTGAGGTTATGCAGTGAAAATTAATATGTTCAGATGGCCACATTCCACAATTTTAACTTATTTCCCCTTTTTCCACTCTGTTGTACGTACTTTACATGAATATAATATAAGGGTGGACTCTCTCTTGAATATAAACTGAAACTGATCTTGTTGTTATTGCCTTTTCCTGTCAGGGGTTGCCACAGCAGGCCAGTTTTTTTACACCTGATGCCCTTCCTGATGCAATAACTGGGGGTTCAATGTCTGGTCCAAAGAAACCTCAAAATGCTCAACAATTGCTCTTACCTCTGATCTGAAAAAATAAACTTTACTGATGTCTTCTGTCCCACATTTCTGAAATGTTCCACATGGTTCTTCCATATAGCTCCCAGTGTCTCCATTTGGCTTGCAGTGATGCATTATTCATCTGTCAGAGACAAGACCAGATACTAAAATCCCAAATCCCTCATCAAAGCCCCTTGTTTCTCTGTCTTTGCAAAATAAACATACATCAACCCACAGTTACTTGTCAGAGGTGACGGGAAGAATAGACCATATATACATATCATATATGGTACCGTGGTTCAGGATTTATTATACGTTTGCACAAAATGAGGCCCACACACTCAGACAGCCAGAGGAAGCTTTGATTAAATTCCATTGCCAACAACCTATCATTAAATCTAATGAAATATGAGGATTTACTTATATAAAATAAGATTAAACAGCGTTCTGTCTCACTGATGTAATATATTTGCAGGTTTTTTCTATGCATCTGTTATGCATTGTTTCATGGTTAAACAAAGAAAAGTTTCAGACATTGTGGTGCTGAGAAAGAAAAGTAGTTTTTGTGATTGTTTGGACACATTCTGTTTCCCGTCTGGATGTCCATGGAGGAGCTTGTCTGTGAACAGAAAAAAAGAAGAAAAAAAAAGAAACACACAGTTATTAGAGGGCTGCAACAACTCCACAGTCATTAAGGGAAGAGATCTGTACGATTTGTTCGATGATACCTTGAAGCTGAAAAGCTTGATGTGCTTTATGGCTGCAACTCCCACTGATTGAGGAGAGATCTCATTTCACACATGATTGTCTCTTTCTCTCTCACTGCTAGGTCTCAGTGTGTCAACACACTCTCTTGTTAGTGCTTTGATATTACCAGTCTGTTGCTTGAGGCTAGATCACAGGTCGAAGGAATATAATAGAATGGATAGAAAAATGAAGAAAAAGTTGGAAAAACTGGTGCAAGGAAGCATAGGAATTGAAAATATTTCCCCATGTCTTTCTTTGTTTTCTTTACTATTTATTCTTTTCAACTCTGAATCTGTGTTCATTGTACTTACATACACAAAAATCACATTGTACAAGTTTTAAAAAACTGTGTGTATGATGTCAGTAACAATGCAGAAAAAAACTTCTACACAAACATATGAAAAGCTTATGTGTCACTCTACAGTGAGGATTTTACTAGTGCTGATCCTACCTGTTTTACTCAAAGACTTGCATTACCTTTTTATGGGAATAAAAAGAAAGAAAATATTATTGCAAGTATTTTCAAGGATTCACATGCTGTGACTTTGCCACAACAAAGTCAGGCAGGCTTTGTGCCAGCAGGTCCTCTGTGTGCCTCGGGCTAGATTTATCACCACCAGGGCCCTCCGATGATGAGACCGTTTAGTGGGGGTCCCTATAGTCCTCAGCTGATTAGCGCCAAACATCTCCTCTAATAACCTTAAATAGAGCAATGCCTCGGGACGACATACCAATGCATACTGGCAACTGTGCACAGAACTCCATACACACACACACCTCATAGGAGATAAAGGAAAGAGCTAAGGGCTACCCATCCTCCCCTCCTTTGCCTCAAAGTCACTCCTCCTTTCTTTGCTCCGATTTTAACTTGGCAATGCCATCATATCTGGGATGATAGTCCTAAACTTCAACATCGACCGGCACACAAGATCAGACAAATGCACACATTTCAGATGGTCATGGTTGAAAAGTCTCACCACCATGCACAAATTCCTTCTTAGCATTGATGGCAGATGGCACAGCCAGACTATATATGCATATGGGGTGCATGGAATTGATCTCTTCAGGGGACTAAATAGTAAGAGATAAATTTGAGATTATATAGCAATCATCTGTGATTTTTTTGTGCTTTTGTGCTTGTGCTAGTCTTGTGTTAGAAACTGGAAATGAGCAAAAACAAATAAATACTCTGGAATCAGATCCCCTCTCGATATGTGAGGAGCAAAACCGAGGTTGCTTATCTTTAACCTGCAATGTTTGAAACCACGCCACATTTTGCTTTTTGCTTTTTTCACACCAAAGAAAGTGTGAAATACCAACTGAAAAACAAAGCACCACAAAGTAGTCAAAATGCTTAAAAATTTTCGAATAAGAATGTCAAATAATGTACACAATTTCTTGTTTTTATTTACGTAGTTATGTATTTTACTTAGTCTTCTAATCAAATAAAAATTATCATTATTCTGTGGCCAATTAACGTTGACTTTCCTGCCTTTATGTTACACTCATAAGTTAGAGACTGGTGTTTAAGCAGCTACGACAACAATTGACTAACGTACACAGACATTTTTTGCTCCGATATAGTTTAGTCAATTTTCTTCCATTTTTTCACTTTTATTAAGCTCGAAAATAATGTCACTGAAGCAGCCGTTGACTCGTTTGTCTCTTTGAGTGTCCTTTTGTAATGTACATGCAAAGAAACTCACTAGCACTCTGGCGTTTGTGCCAACCGTAGATACGCACAATACTGAGATCTGCTGCTAAGCAGAGACTTTATTCACCATAGTTTTAAATGTTCAAAATAATATTGTATTAGCGTTTCCAACCAAATTTGAGCATTTTACGAAGAACACGTGAAGGCAGCATGAGAGTCCCGTCATGACGTCACGTGGAGCCTTTGAGTCAGTCAGCTGAGGGAGGAACTTCAACAACAGAAAGTCAACCAGGAAACAGGCTGCTGAAACTGAACTACTGTCCAGGTCTGACGGCCAAACGACGGTATCCACGGCAGGAACCTCACAGTTTATCGGTACAGATTGTTCATTTGGTATTTAATTAAACACAGAGCAGCGACATGGCTTCCCTTTTCAAGAAGAAGACTGTCGATGGTAAGTTTGCTCTGTACAAAGCTAGCTTAGTTGTTTTTAGCTCGCTCGTACAGCCTGCTGTGTTGTTCTCGTTTGTAATTAGCTGTCCTTAAAGAACTTGCCAAACCTGTTCTCTTTCTTGTTGAGTCACTAGTCACATTACCTAGGGGGATGTATCGTTGAGGCTCAGCCAGAATAAGTGTGGCACGGATGAATTCGCTTTTTTGTAGGTAGCCGATTTACGGTGTAAACCATACCAAAAAAAGAAAAAAAGGCATTTAACTATACAAATGTCGTGTTGCTCGGTACCATGTAAAGTTCCCATTAAATAACGTATACGTTGGTGTTAACCTAAGTAATTGGGTTTCTCTAAAATGTTTTATTTCAGCTACAGATTCAAATAGGTGTACTTTGACGTTCATTTTAAAGTAGTACTCCCTCCTGGGACATTTGTCTCATCTTACTGACTCGGAGTGTCCATTTATCTCAGCTCCATTTCTCAAACACTCACTGTCTGGCTACATTGATGTATATTTCTACTCTACACGCAGATTTTAAAGTATCTATCTTAACCCTACTTTGAATGAAAATAACAGCATTTAATATTTAAGGGGGAAAAAAAGCTGTAATAAAAGTATGTTGTTAAAGTATGACATCATTGGCATGTTGGAGTTTGAGTTCATGTAAGTCATGTGTAAATATATATATATATATTAGATATAAATTTGGACAGACTTTTAGTATAAATATTTGAGTATTTTTCTTCAGGCGAGGTAATCAGCCTCACAGTGTTCAGACTGAAATTATGCCTCTCGTTTTTTCTCAAATTAATGAATCAATTATTCTGCTTCCAGTATGGACCTCTGGGCTTTCATTTCCAGAGGAAAAGCAGACTAATGTCCAGCTTCTGTGGAAATAAAGCTCAATTGTGAGCAGAGTTATATAGAAATAAAGCAGCAGGTTTATAAATAGGCTCTGCTGGTTTTGGAAAAATCTTTTCACAGCCTTTCTTACTCCTCCCATCTCTGCTATTCCAGCCTCACCCATCCCAGCAGGTGCATGCCGTACTCACTGTGCCGCGTTAGCTCGGCTCCATATTGAAATGCCTTCAGTTCCTCTCGGTTCTAACTTTTTCATGCCCCTGTTTCGATCTCTGAATTTCCTTCCTTCTCTGGACACCTCATTTTCGCCGTTGTCGGGGTCGGATGGTTTGGGTAGTTTGTGGTTATTCTGCAAGTTGTGAAGGTGGGTGGGGGGGGTTAGATCACATATATTTGTAGGATGGTATCCCTCCCACTTTGAAACGTTGGCGGCACGTCACCTTGTACGTATTTATGCATCGTTCTCACAAGTGGTCCGCTGCAGTGACGTATCTCTGATAAGTTCACAGGAACGGAACTTTTCGAAGGAAAAACGATTTCCTATGTCAGTAGGACACTTTCTCTGTGTTATTACCATCATAACACAGCTTATTGGTTAACTGGTCTGAAAAGGTTAAATCATTCTGTTTCTGTTCCAGATTTTCTTCAATGTTTGAAAGTACCGCTCCTCTTTTACACAGTTACTGCAAATCTGTGTCAAGTAGTTAGGATGGATTCTTAGAGTCTTTAGAGGTTTTTCCCTGTTTCTTTTTTTTGTTTTTGTTTCATGTGAGTCATGAAATACCAATTATGTTGAAAATATTTAAATCAGGTTTGGAATTTTGTGTTATACAATTCTAATACTAATGAGTTCATTTATTATAATTTTTTTCTTGAGCTTAACTGATGTATTCTATATCTTTATTTTCAACTTTAGAAACACTTAAAACATGTCAGATATCATAAAATCATTTTGTTGCTATAAGATTAATCCCAAAGTTTGTTTTCCCGCTTTTGGTTAAATTGGGTTATCATTTTTTTGAAGATGAAAAATACTTATATAAAAGAGTGACCTTCGGTTCATACATGTTTTTTTTCATATATGGGTTTTTTAGAACTGACTTGCTCCGTAATGGTGTTAGCTGGCCAGGCAGTTCCACAGTTGTCTGTGTTGGAATGCTTTCAATGTTCTTCGGGTGATATTTTATTTGCATATTGGGACACATGCTAAAAAATATGCTCTATATTAAGACATGAGATAAATGTTTTACATTTCTTTTCAAATTCTTCAACTAGCTCAGTCTCTGTTCTTTATGACTGAATGGCAGCAAACATCCAGCAATAATCGTTGGAAAAATATTTTAATTCTTTAAAAGGATATTGTAAGCTTTTTATTTGTATTTTTATTTATTTTTAACATCATCATTATTGTTGTTGTTATTGTACATTCATCTTTTTGGGATGCCTGCTATAAACTGCACACTTCTAAGGCAAGGGAGCAATTAAAAGACACATAGATAGTCAGCCTGTTAACTTTGATTTTAATTTCTTTTTTTTTCTGAGAAATGATCTGAAATCACACATATTCTCACAAAAGAGGTGGTTTTATTTTGGCTATTGTAGGTTAACTTAGAACTTGGTGGCCGTTGATAATGTGCAGGTATTGCAACCTTTTCTAATCTTTCTTTCTCTGTGTCTTCATTTTTCTAAAGACATCATTAAGGAACAGTCGAAGGAGTTGCGTGGCACTCAGAGACAGATCACGAGGGACAGAGCAGCACTCGAGAAACAAGAGAAACAAATGGTTGGTGCACACACTTTGACACGCAGACAAAAATCACAGCAAGCTTAAGTTTTAGTGGGAAAAGCATTTTCTTTAGATTTCTTCATATTGCATCAAGGTTCCATCAACGCCCCCTTAAATTCTCCCCACATATTCACAACACAGTTAACATATTACATCCACTTTGCACAATTGGGGAATGAGCCTTATTGGCTAATAATGTGTAAATGAATTGACAAGAATGCTCTGGTGTACTGGCTTTGCTCTAGGCAGTCTAGTCGAAACTAGACACACGCACACACACCCAAACCCTCACACTCTCATAGTGACACAATAAGACTATATTCACAGTCGCACATAATGATAATTTCCCTCTCACTGAGATGAAAGGAGCGGACTGTGTCCTCCCCACTCAGTTGTTATAAGTAAATATCATAGGGGACATAATTACCTCCCTGGGGAGCCACTTTTTTTGTTCTTCGTTAATGCTTTCCACTAATTAGTCTGGTTTTTAAAAGCTTTGCTGCACATTCTGAATAAAAGATACCCTGACTAAGAAATTAAAATGGCTTGTGTTTGCAACTTAGCACAATCATGAGTGTCCCCCATTGTTCACCCTTACAGACGTTTAGGTGCTTGATGAAAATGGTGCCGCACAGGGGTTATCATCCCAAGTTCAAAGTATATTTCCAGCCAAGCTCTTCATTTTCTGTAGAGTTTTATGAATGAACAGGAACATATAAGAATTGGGGCATGCTTGCCCACTTAAATCAGATTGGTCGGACACAGATTGTTTCTACAATATTAATTATGGCTGGATTTAATGTAGCGTAGCATTTGTACTGTAGGTCACTTTGCCAAAGGCTGGATGACTGGAGAATTTATTCTGATTCTCTTGCACTTTTCTTCATTTGGACTGACAAAGAAATTTGTCAAACAATCACGTTGTGTGATTTATTTTCTTACATAAATGGAATAATCTCATATTTTGCATTGCTTTGTTCTCGTCTTGCTCAGAGGTCTATTCGACCTTCCAGCCTTTCTTAGTGCACTAATATTGCCATTGCACACAATCACACACACAATCCAGAAGTCTTCAGTTTATACTGTTGCTGACATTATCATTGCAACTGTGAATAATTTCTTTCTCAAAGGTATTCCCAGGACCCTCGGTATGCCCAATTTCAGCTGCCAGGCAAAGTGCATGTCCGTGCACGTGTATGCATGTTTAGGATGAGATAGATTTTAGTTTTAACAGTTTCAAACATGAATTAATAATTGATTAAAACTGCCTGAAGAAGAAGCTTTCAGGGCACATGATACGAATGAGACTTGCTGGTGCTGAGAGGCAGCGAGCTCACTGCATCCTGCAGGTGTACTCTCATCTCTTGGGACGCTCTCACACACTCTTGACCGCATTCGGGATCCCTGCAGGCATCAGTACAATTTCCTATATTTACTAAAGCTAAGTGCGCATATCAGCTTTTCAGTGAGTACAATTTGACCTGGATGACTTTATTTACTGTGTTTATATTCACAAACACAATGCACTCTCTGGAGCTTTGAGGAGTTTGACAATTTATTATTCAGTATGAACACAACGTGTAGAGAAAATAAGTCATACTGTATTTGTTAAAGTGAAATGAATTGTGAGGGAAGGCAAATGTACAAATCACTTGTAATGCTCTGATGAGCTTAAATAGTTTGATTGAGGATCTGAAGCCAGGTGCTTTTCTTTCGTAATGCCATCGCATATGGAGCTGTGGAAAACAAAAGAAACACCCAGACCCAGATGAAGAATTATGCGTGAGCTCATGTCGCCTTTCTTTTTATCTCCAGGAGGCAGAGATCAAGAAAATGGCAAAAAGTGGAAATCGGGAGGCTTGTAAGATTCTCGCCAAGCAGTTAGTTCAGCTGAGGAAACAGAAGAATCGGACGTATGCTGTAAGCTCAAAGGTCACCTCCATGTCCACCCAAACAAAGCTCATGAACTCTCAAATGAAGATGGCAGGTGCCATGTCCACCACAGCTAAGGTAAGAGCCCATGCACTTTCATTAAAGTTTAACGTCTACACTGTAGGAATCTGCTTTACAAACCGTGTGCACCTTTCTCATTTATTCACAATCTGTAGTTTTATTAATTCCCAATAAGTTTATTTTATGTTTGGACAAACATACATTTCATAGACTTCATTTAACACAATTGTGGAAAAGTTGCGACATAAACTGACTTAATTTTGATATTAATGTTCTAACATAAAGATTCAAGTATAGATGTGGGTGGGTGTTAGACGTGCTAATGTTTAGAGGCAAGTTCCATTTTTGTTGCTAATGAAGTGTGAGAGGTACTATTAGACCAGGAGGGGTGTATTATACAACAGGTCAAATATAATTAGGCCTCAGAGTAACGGAGGGTGACGAGGTGTATGTGCGTTTGTGAGGGAAAAAAATTGAGTTGTTTGAAAAGAGCTTTGATTGAGTTATTCACTGAACAGTGGCCACAGTTCCACGTTCTATTGGCATGATGGAAGGCAGTACGTGTCAGTTAATCTCTTTATATGGACGTGTGGCATTATAATGCCATCATGGATTCAGGGCAATGGCCTAAGTATGTTTGAAATTGATTTTCTTTTTTTTTTCTTTTTTTTGTGAGACTGTTTTACAGAGCCTGATCTGAAATGTTAAAAATCTTTGTGATTTACAATCTGCTTGAACACCTACTGTAATGAACCAGGCTGGGCAAATTCTTTTAAAAGTATGTTTTACAGTTGGCTGGGGTGTTACTCTAAAGTACACATAATGATTCCAGCTTTCTGCTTCTTACAAACAGTTGCTTCTCATCCACTTATAGCTTAATATTATTTTGTCGTCTGCAGACCATGCAAGCTGTGAATAAAAAGATGGACCCTCAGAAGACATTGAAGACCATGCAGGACTTCCAGAAGGAGAACATGAAGATGGGCATGACCGAGGACATGAGTAAGGACACATGATGTGAAAAGGCATGTGGGGTGCAGACAACTTTGGTTAAATATAACTATTTGTTTTCCTCTTGATTCTGTTTAGTTAATGACACACTAGATGAAATCTTTGATGAGTCTGGGGATGAAGAGGAATCTCAGGACATTGTCAACCAGGTCCTGGATGAGATTGGCATTGAGATCACAGGAAAGGTAAGAAATAACAAACAATCTCTCTCCTACATGCTGTACCTTTTTAAACTGCAAGAAACTGGAACACCTTTAAGCTCTACAGCAGAAGAATTAATCTGTTTTTAAATTGGATTAATTAATTTAGTTTCAACACACATTTTACAGATGTAGCTTTTCTTAAATGGGTGAGTAGCCCCCAGCGAATGAACGAAAGGTTCTCCACATGGCTTATACCGGGGTATTAAAATGCATCCCAGCTGCCTGTTGGTGGGGCTAGCCCTAAGCTCTTCCCCATGTGCATTCTCCTCTAACCACCAGCTTGTTTGTCTTCTTCGTATCTGGCTCCCCCTGGGGGGCTTCATGAGTTATTACCTCTCACAGCACAGTGCACTAACTGGCTAATTGTCCAATAAACACATCCACAGCTGGAGAGCGCAAACAGACAGTCTGATAAAAGTCTGCTAGAGTATCATTTCCATTAGAGCGGAGATGTTATTTCCTGCTAAGTCACAATTAAACACGGAGCCCAATGTTCCCAGATCGCTCTGTTATTGCACAGAATTCTGGAGGAGGCTATACAGTAAATGCTACTGAGCCTTAAGCTGAAAGGAGTTTATAAGACTCGTAAAATATAGTGGGTTGGAAAACAAAGAAAATAAGCATCCATATGTTATGTTTTAATTGTTTTGGTTATTTTGTGTTTAATGATAGTGGGCCAGGAAAATTAGAACATGCTGCGATTTGCTTAGTTTATTTAGTTTTTTCTCAGCATGGATAATATGCTATGTTTTTTTTCAAAGATTTACATACCCTGATGATGCCTTTAGGTGATGATAACTCACATTTTCACTATATTGAGCGCTATGAACTATGACCCATCACTAATAGTTTTCCAGTTTAACTGACATTGTGGCGATTAGAAACCAATGTTGTACATTTGGCCCTATTGAAAAAAAGAAAAAAAAAAGAAAAGCTGTTGCTCTGTGGTTGTATTTTGAAGTGGGTGTTCTTGCTAATAGGATTTTTCTGCCAATGTGATTCCAGATGGTCAGAGCTCCAGCTGCAGGAAAGGCCGTTCCTGGTGCTGCCTCCTCCAAACAAGCCACCATCTCCGACGACGAAATTGAAAGACAGCTCCGTGCTCTGGGAGTGGACTAGTTATCCGACTCCTATTCGTGTTCACATTGTAATGGGTGAAATATCAATACCAATTGAAACAGACTCTGTCAGACACACTGGTTTTGTCATCGTTCAAATGCTGCAGGAGTAAACACACGCACACACACATTCATGCATTCAGAGGCTAGCAGGCAGGTGGATGTATGTTGACTCAGATTCTCACATTCTTCAGCAGTTTGCCTTAAAGATCACAAGGACAAAACATCTGATCTATTTATATAAACATTGTATTTATTGCAACCTTGGAGAAGCTAAAGCTTGATGGTGGATCCAACAATACATGCTAGACATAAGGAAACGCCTACCCCATTGTTTACCACCTTATCTATGGCTATAAGGGCTACAAGCACGCAGATGTGAACGTGGGAGTAGCTTTTTCTCTTCTGTTGTTTCAGTCTCAGCAATCAATCAGTATCGAGATGGATGCTCTTTCTCAAGCAAATTTTAATGAATAAAACATGATAATTAAGAAAAGCTTAAGGGTTGCCAATAAGCAAATGGAAACGTTTTTTTTTTTTTTTTTCTCCTTGCTATCTTTCTTTCTTTTGGTGAATTGGAACTGATCTGATGCACGTTTTCTTAGGCTGTCTTCATTAAGCCCTCTTTGGGTAGAATTTTCAAGGTGTTGTGGGGAAAAAAGCCTCAGTTTTATTCCTTTGTCATCATAGCATCACATTAACATGCAACCATAACACAACTGATCATGTTTTTAGGTTCTTTAGGTAAACCACCAAGCATGTAAATAACACCCGTGACCTTTATGAGATAGTGAGATAGATTGATCTGAGGGGCTAACCGTTGTGATGCTGGGAAGGCTGCATGACAAAACTGTGATATCAATTGGGAGTAATGGTAAACTGGCAGAGTTTTGAATCGGTTGATGATACTGAGCAATCAAGAGTTTTTTGGCTTCCGTGTTGATGTTTGATTTACAGAGTGATTGTGGGATGACTCTGCTCCTGCAGTCCCCCTTCTCCTTCAGCTGCTGTGCAGTTACTGTCATTGGATAATTCTATCTGCCTCAGTGAAAAGAAACACTACAGCAAACACAAAAAGAAAAGAAAATACATGATAGTGTGTGCATAAATGACACTGTGAAAAACATGATTTTATCTCCTCTCCAGAGCTTAAGCTGACTGATTTGTCAGCAGCTTCAGACTTCAGGAGACTGACAGCCATGTCTGCTCATTATGATGTTGTCTCTTCGCTTTTTGCCTTTTGTTTCCATATCCATCGCTATTGCCAAAACGACAGAAAATGTGTCATTTATGCATGTAGATGATGTCTTTTTTTTCTCTCCAAATAATCTGTTCCCCCACCGTGTACAAGTTCATCATAATTGTGGACATGATTGAGCTTTTAACAGATTTTGACACTTGAGTGCAGCTCCATGCAGTCTATTCTCATCCTTTGTAAAAAAAAATCTGTAAAAGGTTTATGGCTTTTATAATGAATAAAGTTTCTTCAGGTACAATTGTAAGTGCCCTTTGATGTCATTTTCCCCTCAAAGGGTAAAGCTGTTGAAGCGTTTTAAAGCTTTATCTCTCTCTGAATTATGTGTCTTCTATTCAGACCCAGAAAATATAGAAGCAGATTCATTTTAATAGCAATGAACAATTGCTTTCTATTTATTAACTCTTAATTACGCAATTATACCTATAATAACATGTTGAAGGGGTTTACTTTAAAATAAATATGTTCACCATTAAACTTCATTACCACTGAATGCATATATAGACAAATTGACATATTGGAGAGGCAGATTACTACGATTTATTCTATTTTGAATTCATAAGATGCAGCAACTTGCTGTAAACTGCTTTAATCTAATACTGCATTCAGATACATTATTAGCAAAGGAAAATCCAAAGAGTGACAATAACACAACTGTGAGGCTAACATAATCTTCTGAGTAGTTTTATTCAAAGTCTAGTTTGCATTTCAAATTCCACCATTCGACCCAAGAATATTATCACAGTGCCGCTATCCATGCTGCTGCATTTATTTCCCTTGACGGCACTCCAGTTTTATAGCCTAACATAAGTCATAGTGGAAACAGCATGATCCTGCATTAAGGTGTCATGTAGTTTTATTTATGGAGCCCCAATCTCTGTGCTCCTAATGTGTGTATTGATTAGGTGATACAGTATTACAAAAAATGAGAGTTGGCACATGTTCAGTACTTCATAAAACACAATTTACTGTTAGAACTGATGCATCTCCCAGTGTCTGGAACTCAAACATTTCCTTATAACTGATGGGAAGGCACAGGCTAAGTACATATTTGGCATAAATATAGACACTTCAAATAAATCAGTTTTACATTCTTAAATAACCATAATAACCTTTTATCCATTATCAATCCATCCATTATCAATGCCGCTTATTCCCTCATGGGGTCGCGGGGGGAACTGGAGCCTATCCCAGTGGTCAACGGGCGAGAGGCAGGGTACACCCTGGACAGTCCGCCAGTCCATCGCAGGTCCACACACAGGACATACAACCACTCACACTCACATTCACTCCTAAGGGCAATTTCCCCAATCTCCAATCAGCCTAACATGCAGGTTTTTGGACTGTGGGAGGAAGCCGGAGAACCCGGAGAGAACCCACGCAGACACAGGGAGAATATGCAAACTCCACCCAGAAGGGCCCTGGTTCCCCCGGGATTCGAACCCAGAACCTTCTTGCTGGGAGGCGACAGTGCTAACCACCACACCACCGTGCCGCCAATAACCTTTTATTTTAAATTAAATTAATCATATTCAAGCTGTTCCAGGCACCTATTATTGAGATTTGACATACCAATCTACAGTCTATGATAATAGAATTCAAGAAGTTTCTCTTCTGAAAGGGTATGGCGTTTGGGTCCGTTCTCCCGCTTTTTATTAAGACATCTGACATTAGTCACGACGAGGTCAGAGTCCAGAGTCTTCACTAAGAGTTATTGTTCTTCACATGACACTTTGTTGAGGCACCAATGACACAAACACCACAAATATGAATCAGCAGAGAACAGCAGACCCCCATAAAATGTTCTGTCATACTGGGACACAAATAGAATAGGTTGTGTAAAGTAAAGATCACACAATATATTAGCTCTCAAATAAATCACAAGAACATAAAGATGACCATCACAAAAAAACAAAAAAAGCTTTTCATAGACAATATTAAGACCGAAGAGAAGGGCAGAACTGTCCTGACCGGTTTTAAAAAGGCACACAACTGAATATTTCCAAGCACTTGTCTGCACTCTGGTGCTCACAGGTGAAATTACATTTGGTCTGTGTGGTTACAGATTTTCAATATTTGCAGGAGGCACAAGATTCAATACATTTAAATGTCAGAAGAGGCAGCTGCATCATTTGTTTTTCTTTTCAAGCTTTACAGTTTCAATCTCAAACTACAAGGAATAATAACTGGTCGTCTCTGTGACATTCATCTGTTTTTATAATGTATTTTCTCTGCGGCATGGCGGGATTAAAAAACCTGCTGGAAAGCATTTCTATAAGAGCAAATAAGGACAGGAAATGGCATGAACATGGCCTTAAGAAACTGTAAAAAGGGATGTGTGCAAATCCAGCTGACATTTGCCACTGAAAATGACACATTTTGCAGAAAAATGCCTGGAATGCTTTGCTTTTGATTCACTGGGCTGACATGAATTTTCCTTTTTGCACAATAGAGTGTGATATTTCTTTTCTTTTGTAGCATTTCGTCATAGCTGTTTAATGTTAATTTGACATATTCTTCTGCCACATCTCACTAAAATTATTGCTTTGCGACATATCATTTGAAAATAATGTGTTCTCACATGCTGTGGTTTTAGACACGCTTTATCTCAGCCTTCGGTTACATGACTGGTCTTTGTATTTTACCCATTTGTGCAATGCAGTTTGCACTGACTTTGGTCAAACAGGAGCTCAGATTGAGGCTTGTCTTGACACGTTTTTCTCGTTGACGTCTGTTGCAGAACCAGACTCTGACCACTTCCTTCTCCAGATGAAGGCCTTTGGCTATACGGGCTATTTCCTGAGAGGAGGGCTTACTCTTCTCAATAAAGCTGCGCTCCAGGGCCTCTTTAGCTCCAAGACTGAATCCAACAAGGGACAGAGGAGACAGCAAAATATTGTTTGGCAAAATCTGTTGAAAAGTACATTTTATTCTGTATTTGAAATTAACAATACACACCTGATAGTTGTTCTTCTTTTCCTCTTCCGCTCATTCATTCCTATTTTATCATTGTACAAAGCTGTTTGTAAAGAACATATATCAAATTTAGTTACCTGTTAAAACTTCCATCAATTAAATTACAAATAACATGACGTACACAACCTTTAAATAAGTTTATGTCAAACTGATTGCCACAGCAAGCACAATTTGATGTTTATGATTTCGACCTAAAATTTCAACATCTTCAACAATAAAGATTATCTATTCTAACGCTTGAATCCAGGTTAAAGATCCAGGTTAAAAATAGAACTTTCCAAAAAAATATTGAAGATGGAAATTGCATTTAAGTTGAGTATTTGGCTGTTGAATAAGAAAAGGTAGTTTACAAGCCTCAGCACATACTGGGCTGATATTCATTCATCCAGTGAAAGATATCATAAATACCTGAAGGAGCATTTCAGGGACTTAATTCAATTTGAGAAAACAATCAATTAGATGGCATTGAATATATTATACTGGCGACATGCCCAAGGTGGATGGATGAATGAACATAGATATATCATTCCATTTATCTGAGAAAAAAAACGTTATAAAAGTGAAAAAAGCTCCAAATCTGAAAAAAAAAGAAACCGACAAATTACTAATATTTCTATGAAGTAAATATTAAATCAAAAGTTGGCATTAACCTTATTGGATGGATAACGATCACACCTACTCTAAATAAACTCTTTGGAGGGTGATGCAGTGCATGTGTGTGACTCACCACCAGCCAGCTCGGCTTCGTCCAGCCATTTAGCCAGAATGGCCTTGAGTTTGCAGGCGTTCTTAAAGCTGAGCTGCAAATTTTCAAAGCGGCAGATCGTGGTCTGGCTGAACTCTGAGCCGTGCACTGCAGCGAGAGCCTCGCCTACATTAGTCTGAGTGTAGCCTGAGGTCAAAACGAAACGAAAATAGAAACACTCAAACAGAGGAGAAGCAAGGCAAACATGCAAAAAGACACATTACAGTAACCCCTCGTGATGCGGCTGTACAGTGAGAATATTTAAGGTATTTTTTTGAGTCACGCTCACCAAGCTTGATCCTGCGTATTTTGAAGTCGTTCGCAAACATTTCCAGCTCTCGTATTTGCGGGGAATCCATGGTAGGAACATCCTCTGGGTCCCGCATGCTCTTTCTTTGGGCGTCGGTTTTCACCTCGAGGCTGGGGCCTCCAGGGGCCTCGTCTGCCGAAAGGATAGGCAGCGAGGAGAAACCATGGCTAATAGCACACGAACTGCTACTTAACCCATGGTCCGGAAACTTATAAATGCAGGGAGTCAGAGATCCTGAGGAGAGAACAAGAGGGGAGGAAGACATTTTTAAAATTAAGGTCTGAAAAATAATAGGTCTTTTGGCTGCAAGAAATATGTTAAAAGAAACGTGGTCAAAAATCTCACATGCATCTTTAGCTTCTTTATTTTAGCACAAAACCCCTACAGACACACTTATCACTAACTGTGAAAAGAGAACCTAATCTTTTTTCCCTTCTTTGTTTTAGTTGACAGATGGTGTTGTCTTATTTTAAATTCATGCCACAAGATGACAGCTTCCATTCGCTTCTTGGATTAAGATTCACACCTTTGGAGCTAAACTCCCTTTAATTTATTCTTTTCCTTATTTTGTGAAGCGCCATATTGCATTCAGCTATCATTATTCCACCTACAGACAGAGACAATAGCTCGCTGCAGTGTTTCTGCTGATTGTTATGTGGTATTAGACCTAGTTTTGAAGCTACACTGAGACCCAAACCATCTCCATTTACTGATAAAAAAAAACAAGCTTGGTCTGAAAAAGGCAATGTGTGAAATAAGTGCCAATGTTGAGCAAATACATTTTCAGGGTCTTGGTGAATATATATTCGTTTCGCTGCCATTTAACACAATGCACTCCATCTTAAATGTATTTGCAAGTGTATCCAAAAAGTCCTGCGTTCCCTTCTTTTATGTTTCTGAAGTCCCTTTATTGAACCAGAATGTAGGCTGCACAGCAACATCTGAGAGCAGCCTTTTATCATTTGCATACTCGTCACAGGGTTTTGGCTTAATTTCTGTTTTGATTACTCATTATTGCTGCAGGTGGCTGTTGATGCTGAGTAGTTGGATCGAGTGGAGGTGATAACTCATGCTGCTAATCCTTTATGACAGATTAATGACAGATTAATGACAGATTAATGACAGATTAATTACATATGACCAATATATGGGAGGATAACTAAATGGTGGATGTAATTTTTTAACATCAAACTTTGCTTTACATCACAGCAGCTGCAGTGAGGAAAAACGGTGTGTGAATAAATCATCACATTCATTTCGTAACGCTGTACCATGAAGACAGTATAGTGGATATTGTTGGAATGGTACAGCATCTATAAGGAGCTATACCATTCTCCCCTCTTGTGATATCGATGCTGCAGTGTAAACTCTGTTGTATAATAGCTCAAGAGAATTTCAGATCAAGTGGTTAAGGGGATGGATTTTAGTATCTATATTTGTCTATTGTAAAACGGCAGTATTGTCATTGTGAACCAATATTCCCATTCTGTCACACTTGCTGACTTTTGCAGGTTAGACGTTCAGTATTTGTGCTGTTGAATTGTATTTTGTCGTATTGGACGATGCTTGGCTCCTTCTTGATTTTTCTCAGAGCGGTTATTTCTTTCTCGGCAGTGCACAATGCTACAGGTGCTACCTTTCATTACACTGAGCAGGTGTATCATAGAGCGACATGTTTCCTGCTGAACCTGAGATACTCAGAGTACTCAAAAAGCTTCTATGGGAATCCTGATAACATGAGATGTTGCCTGACAATAGAGATGTCTGAGCAATGTTGGTCTCTGGAGATGTAACACTGTAATATCTCTCCAAAGCCCCCTGTTCTAAATGGTGAGGCTTGCAAACGCAGAGAGGAGAAGAGGATGCTATTCTTGACCCTTTGCATTGTTAGCCGGATCTATATTCATGGAGAGCAACGCTGAAGGTTTCACAGCAAAACCGTTATGTAACTGTTTGCTATAGTGATTCTCCTTTCACAGAGAGATTGGAATGAATTTATCTTTGGTAAAAAAATCTTCTTTTATCTACACATGTAGAAATAATCATCTTCCCTTTTTCTCTGACTGTAGCCTTTTGAAAAGGTGACAGCTGCTCCTAAAACTAGTCTAAGGACTGTTCACATCACTTCTGTTCATAACCTGCGAAAAGGGTTATAAGGAAGAATCTTCACCCCTGGGGACAACGCAAACACACACACTCTTTCCAGAGCAGAGAAGAGTTCTCTCCTCTTTCACCTATGTCTGCCCTGATGTTCCCTCGGGGTACATTTATGCTGCAGTGGACACAGCGATGGTTTCACATGCTACGTTGACAGTTTGGGCAGGGGGCCCTTCTCATTACACAGGTGGGCTGCCTCGCGGAGTGAAAGTTCCTTGCTTGCCATTTGTACACGAACCTTCCAAAGTAGCAACATCCCTGAGCAGAGCCCGGAGCAAAGTCAGAGCCAAAACAAATTGGCAAGTCAAAGTTGACATTTTAGAGTTGTAATGATTTTTCTTCTCCCAAGCAACACCAACTTTTAATAAAGTACCACTTCTTTGCCGTCGGTGGCTTTTCAAACAAGTGGCCATTTACAGATCCAGCAGACAGGGGCCGACAATTATTTGTGTCAAACCATTGTTAGTGAAAGCAGGATTTGTGTACTTTGTGTCACATTTGAATTTTCCTTGAAGCACTGATTGGCTCTCAGAGCATCCGAGGATGAACGTTTCCGTCCATTAAGATTTTGTATGTGATGTTCCCAGCTGAGCTAAAGATGCTGCTGCTATAGTTTTTCTCTGCCTGAACATTGATTAAATAATTAGATGAGGTCAAAAGATAACCAAAGCCTTTATAGTTCATTGTTGTTATGTTATTGTAAATCCACACGGCTTGTGTGCCAATCATTGCAATAGTCAGGCCCATCTGACCACAAGTAAGAGATAACTTGCAAATTAAAATGTTAATGAAAATTCTTCGGTTGGGAAAATGAGGTAAAATGTTCTGCTTTGATCATTTCAGGTGATATATCTGCACTTGAACAAGCGTTCAGATGTTTGTTTTTTTCTTTTGATAATTGTCTATTTGTTAATGTCATGTCTTTTTAACTCATCTCATCCTATTAAGGCTGTATGCAGAGTTTAATGATATCACCTCAGCTGTTTTGTTTCTTCTTTGCAGAGGTGGCCTGTCACCACACACTCTTCAAATGCATCCCACTACATTTCTTTTGTTTTTCTTTGATGGAGTAATTTGTCAATATCCATTGTTAATATATGCTTCCATTCAAGCAAAAACCACATCTTTTTGGCCCTAATCATCCCACGTGCCTTTTTCCTTTTTCTATTCAAATACAGAGGACGGAGCTGCTCTCGAGTCGATTTTTGATGCCCTAATGTAAAAATTTGAACACTTAGTGGAGAGTCTGGGATCATTAAAGTGACAAATTAACCAATTTCCTGGAAGTAATAAAAGACGGTGTCTAATAATTTTATTCTAGCGGCTGATGCCAAATGCCTGTCCAACTTTTGACACAGAGTATAAATCATTTCTATCAGGCCATTTACAGGACATGGTGGATTTATCTGGTGCAAAGCTGCAATGGTCAAACACCAGCTTGTAGCAGTCTTGTCTGTAAGATTTACTTCAGTTGGCAAATGTTAATTATTCCAGGTCATCTGGGTTTTTTCTCTATTCTTCTGACTTATTTTCTTTGGATCAATATTAGTTGTATTTATGGGTTGCGGGCAGACATTTTATCTGTTAAATTGAATGAATTTACACGGGTGAATTACAGTAAATTGTTAAACTTCTTTAGCATGTTAAAGCATGTTTAATTTGAAACATAAAATAAAAGGCTATCATATCAATATGAGTTCAGTGAGATCCTCTTATTCTTTTCTTTGTAATCAATATCAGAGCTTGATATTGAGCTCTGAAAGATTTTTTAGATGTAAAAGGATGATTTATGCGTTCAGTCTAGTGCCACTCATTCAGTCTGGTTCAGACTCCAGCTCCAGACAGGAAAGTAATCTCTGACATTTCTCAGGCCTCAAAGAGCTAGAGTAATGTAATCAAGGCTGAAATTGATTTCAGCGGGTTGCAAACTTTAAACTACACGCAGAGAAGAAAACATCTTTCACTCAATTTACTGGAATTAACAGAGTAATTGTGTGTGTGTGCGTGTGTTTGTGTGGAGTAGCGAGCGTGTGGATCGTTCTTTTACCTTGCAGTGGGGTGGCACCACTCACCATGTTAGGGTGAGGGACGCCGCAGGTCTGCAGGATGCGAGTCTGAGATATGCTGGCTGAGAGCATCTCCTGTGCTGCAGAGAGACAGGGAGAGAGGCACAGACTGTGGCATCAGCATATAATGTCGCTACCTGCCTGAAAATACGCGCGGAAACCTTTGTGAAAACCATTGCTGTGAGCATAGCAATGCAAGTTTCATGGCAATGATCTTGTAAGACGTCAGATTTGCTAACGCATCATCTTCAGACATTACTCCGGAGTATGAGGGAGCATCCACACACAACTCTTTGTGATCAATGAGGAGCAGGTGCTACATAATTTACACCATAACCATCTAATCAATGCATCAAATTCTTCCGCTAATATCTCCACTCACCTGTCATCATGCCATAGGTGGTCTGCTGGTTGCTGTAGTGGCAGGGGGTGACTGGGTAATGTAAGCTTGGGGGGCCATTACCGAGAGCATTCCCAAGAGAAGAAGTGGATAGGTGCATGTGGGAACGCTTGGTGGTCGGACCAAGGGACAGCCCCGATGAAACTGATGAGGAAAAAATAGATTTGAGTCTCATCAGACAAGAGCTAGTTTTCAGTAAAAAATCAAACATGGAAACTTTTGGACTTTGAATAATGCCACAGAAATTATATAAAGATTTTTAAAATGCCTAAATACTTGAAGCTGCTATAATATTACATAAAAAATAATATCTTTAAATATAACTTTCAGTCAATTGGATTCTTTTAATGAGTTTGCCCCTGACTCAACATTAATATCACAGGTGTCCAAGTTGTTATAGAAAGTACACCTTGACACTGAAACTGTCTCACTGATTTGGACATTTGCTTCAGCTCCACTGAATCAGACCTTGGTGGACCTCTGAACTCACCCTGCATATATTCCCGTTAAAAAGGAGCACAGTTGTGCTCGTAAATGCAGACACATGCTTTCAAGATGACTTTTTCCTAAAATGACTAATTTACATGTCAGTCTGAATGCTCTTCTTTGTTGTCAATTGCATAATTATTAATTTATTCATGTTCATGCAGTTTGGTGCTCACTGCAGGCACTAATGAGTACTTATTAGTATTGTTAAGATGCATGCTCAATTAGAACAACTGAAATTATCTTAAAAAAAACATCAAAAGACTGCTGCGGAAGACAAACCCTACATAGCCATGACATTTGGATTTATGAATATTATAGACTTGACTTATTTCACAGTAAGTGGTAATATCTGTTATCAGTAATGAACTTGCTCATTTGGCCTGGATGAAAAATGAATTCCACAGGCCCTGTTTTCCCCTGCTGCTACGGGAAAACCAGACATGAATAATGTTCTGCACGACCTAATCCTGTCTATCGGAAGCTATAACAATCAGTAGACACTAAAATCTCACGTAAGATTTCATCACAATACTCCATTAAGACAAATAGCTTGGGGAGTCTGTCATACTGATGATATATCCTCAAAGCAATTATCCACTGACAGCTGAGCCAAACCAACCGATTCGATACATATCTGCACCATTTGGGTTAGTTTTGACCAAATGGGTTTCAGCTGGATTCATTCTCCACATTGGCTGCAGGGAGGTATCGATGCATGAATGTGATTTGGTTATGTATGAGTCTATAAAAGAAATCTAAAGTTCTACCTCTACTTATGATTAAAATCAAGTGTAGCAAATCCCTCTGCAGTGTGTTAATGTGTGCAATATGGTACCATGTGAATATTTTTCCCTGAAAGTAAATACTGGAGTGATTACAACTGGGATTAAGTATCATGACAGCACAATATGGATTGTGCTCAGGTAAATTAGGTTTTCTCAGCTCCTATTTTTCATTGACTTTGCAAAGAAAAAGCAATAAATGCAAAAAACAAAACAACATCCAAACAATAAAGTAGTAACTGAAAAAAGCTGGAACCCAACAAAGTCCAAATTACCTGCAGAGACCATGCTGTGGGCGTGGGAGGTGGTTGGCAGGCAGTCACTGGCAGAGCCATGGTGCATGAGGATTGGCAAATGTGAGTCTCCTGCCAGGGGAGTGAAAGCTTCAGCGCCAAACGCCTGACACGCCATGTTTCTTAGGCTTTTCTTGGATGATCCCAGTGATCACTGATGCTCGTCTGTCAACAGAGTGTCGTCTTCACCGCCCTCTTGCTTATTTTTATTTGATTCAGTTTTCCATTGCTTGTTTTCTCGACGTTTTTCTGTTCTTCAGATCTTCTTGAAACCTGGTTTTCCGGCAGCTCAACTCTTCGCCTTGTAGCTCGCCTCTCGCCTTCTGTTTTGTTGGAGAATTTTCATCTAGTTGTCGCACAGCTTCAGTATCATCTTCTGGTCCGTTTGTCTCTGGCTGAGTTAAGCATATGCTTCCCCTCAGGCGCGGGACTGCCACAAGTCACTTTTCCTCGGATAGGAACGGTTCTCAGCACCTTCTGAAACTCTTCAAAGTTTTAAGCACCACTTAAAAAGGTCCCTCACAGATGAATCGTTGAAGAGCCTATGGTTGAATTTTGAATAACTTGTACACCTATTAAGGAGATTTCATATCAAGGCCTCTAATTTCTTGTATTTTCTCACCTTCACAGATTGATTTTACCCAGCATCCGTCACACTCAAACACTCTAATTTCTTAGCCCTAGTCTACTACAGGTATTTATATCCCACCCACCTACACCTAAACTCCCTCAGCCTATAAGATCCCCTATTTCCCATCAAGCTGCTCTCCCCCACCTTCCAATCCCATGTCAGTGCTGTAATTGCCCGTGTTTGTACTTCTCATCCCGTTTCCAAATCCAGGATTAAGGTACAGAGCGGCTGAGAAACCTGATCTTCTCCACCTCTCCGTCTCTCTCACTCCGTCGCTCTCTCTGTGCCTGATTACAGGATTGTATGGAAGCAACAGGAAAACAAAGTCAGCAGCTTTAATTTTTCAACATTCTCATCTATTTCTATATCTCTCTCTGTAATTTTAGTTGGGGTTGTGCATTATTAGTCTTTTAAGTATTTATAAATGAGGAGATCAATACAATTGAAGAATGATCTCAAGGGCCTTTTACCACAGCTGTAGCTCTTCTTCTCTGGCCTATGGCATGGTCACACTTAAAATTAGTCGAAGCATGATGAAAAAAAGGGCAGATATTAAAGATTTACACACACCCTGACTCTTACAACCTTGTCCCATAATCAGCAGTGAACACTTCCTCTGAAAAGCTTTCTGGCACTCAGGTGGCTGCTCAGTGAATTATATTGTGAATTACCTTTTATATGTCATTAAGAGATGGTGGTTAAGGGGAGTTTTAGAGGTCAGGCTGAGGTCTTAAGCACAACTTTCTTTGAGTACGTCAGGGATGATTAATCGAATGGGACAGTAATAATCCTATTCGATGGTAGAAGACTATGAGCAAAGACTTTTTCTTTCATGGAAGAGTCAAAACAGGACAAATTTCACTGCAGAATTTTGAGTTTGGAAGGAATAAACATAAAGTATCTCCATATGTACAAAACTTATTCTGAAAAGAAAATTTTTTCACCTCTATGAAAACAAATTTTGTTTAAAAAAATCCACAATGAGGTATTTCAAGAGGAGCAAGCTGGCATATTTTTTTGTTTTAACCTTTAAACTTTTGCATGTGGGGTTGATGCAATGTGCCAAAGAGAAATGGTCTATTTTTTTTACATGAGTGTACTTTTTACCAATTACCTCAACAACACACCCAATAGAACACAGACATTAAATTGTCTTAAAAGAGCTTTCAGATGTTATTTGTGTGTGTTTTGTTTTGGACTGACCCAGATTGACCTGGAGATCAGGAGCAGGGCCTCCATCCTGCTTTAAGTTTACCTCTCAAAAAGAAAGCTGATGTCGTTACTTTAGTGTTAGAGGAGAAAACTATTGTTTCAAGCACTGTCTTTATTGTGTTGAATGCTGAGCTCTCCAGGTAAAACTAACCGGCCTCATCATTGGGGATAAAAGGTTAATCAGATGAGTGTGGCACCATGTGCACTCTGTTGTGTCTGCATTTGTTTTTTATCCTCAACTCTGCTTCACTATTGTTGGTGTAGGTGGGCAGCAGGTGGAAAATAGCTTGTGGGTGGTAAGCACGATTCAGCTTGCTTAAGCAAAGTGTAAATTTGGTCTGGATGCACTTAGTCTTCAGTCTTCAACAATGTCCTTCAAGTGAAGAAGACAATAAATACCTTTTATACATCAAGTTTGTACATTTGTGACTCTCATGTTGAAATAGCAGATTCTTTAGCTCTTTCTATTACAATTTCCAAACAAATGCTAATGGTATTAAGCCACTTCAAGCACCTGCCATCATCAATATGCAACCATATCAAGGCTGAAAACCTTTGGGATAAATAGTCAAACAAATCAAACCTGACTCTGACAACTTAATTTAACTACCTCAGAATTTAAATTAATCAAAGCCAAGTAACTGAGAAAGTTAGTTGAATTTTAAAAAAATCTTGGCAACATCCTCAAGAATACTTTTTTATGTGTGTTATTTTCATTCAGCCAGCAACTCCCACTCAGGCTGAAGACCAGGGTCCCAGCTGGTGAGTACAGGATGTGAATAACTCAACTTACATGTTACAAAAGGCACGTTATTTCTTATAGCATTATCGTTGGCCATTCTGAATAATAACAGCAAAACAGATATATAGTGATGCTTCATGTATGGGATGTACAGACTTGCTTGACTCATATGTTCTTATTCATACGGACATTTAAATATTCAAAGATTTAAAGTCTAAAATGAAAATGAGTCTGGGTCCGGTCAGTGTTTTGTTTTTGATGTGTAAATGTTGAGTTTGCCTGCCAGGAAAAGCAAAAAACACTTGAGAAGCCTAATCACATGCACATCTACTATGCATATCTAATATCTAATTTTAATTGCAATCATAACATTTTTATGGAGATTTTAAACATCACAAAAATATATAAGAAAAAGATAAAATACTTGTATCCATGATATAAAAGAAGATTTTCAATGAACAAATTTCAAAGAGTTTCGTTCAATCAGGACTTCATGTTGCTCTGAGATTAGTTTGAGAAAGGTAATCAAAACATGAGAGAATAGAGAAGGCAGAGCTTTCCCATGGATGAGCAAGTATACACACACACACACATGTGCTCGCCCACACACACACATAAAAAACCCATAAACTTAATTAGTGAAGAGACAAAGAGTCAAAAGGGTTCTCTTAAAGCACCTGTCCCACCTCACCCCTCACCTTCGACTCACACACAGACACCTACACACACAGACACACACTCAGACCCACACAGACACAGAAATACACTCATAGATTATTTAAAAATCTCATAAAGACAATAAAAAGAAATTAGCTCCATTTGGGCACATGCAAAAACATTGTGTAGACAAATACACACACACACACACACACACACACCCGGCAAAGACAATAAAAAACCCCAAAAAACACTGATACAGTGGGAACAGCGCAACGTGACACATTCTCACAGGTATCACATCCATACATATAGTGGACCAGGTGCCTGTCCCTGTGTGTGTGTGTGTGTGTGTGTGTGTGTGTGTGTGTGTGTGTGTGT